GGCTACGCGGCCTCGCCCGGCAAGCAGCAGGACCAGAAATACGACCCCTTCGACCCCACCGGCTCCAACCCCAGCTCCTCCCGCAGCAGCCCCTCCCCCGACGAGGAGGAGGAAGAGGAAGAGGAGGAAGAGGAGGACGACACGGCCGCCCCCCGGCCCGACATGTCCCACAGCATCAGCCGCATCTCGGAGACCCTGGCCGGCATTTACGACGAGAACAGCTTGAGCCAGGACTTCCTCGGCTCGGAGAAGGGGCGGGAAGAGGCGGAGCCCAGCGAGGCCCCAGTGGCCGGTGGCCGGCGCCCCGAAAAGGAGCCGGCGGCCGGGGCCGACTCCACCCTGCCTGAGGAGGAGAATGCCTCGGAGCAGTCGGACGGGGCCCCCGAGCCGCCCCCGGAGCCGCGTCGCCGCGTCTTTGTGGTGGACCTCGCCAGCAAGAGCCGCTCGGAGGCAGAGGCCAACCCCAAGCTGGAGGGGAAGGTGTCGCTGGAGGTGGTGACGGCCGGAAACCCCAAGGCACCGGCACGGGGGGAGAAGGGCCCCAAGGCGGGCCGGCACCGGGGCGGGCGGCGCTCCTCTCTGGACTGGGCCGGTGCCGACTCGGAGATCGAGGAAGGCGAGATCGTGCAGCCGGAGGACGAACGCTACAGCCCCATCAGGCTCTTCCGCAGCCGGTGCCGGCCGGCCGAGCAGCGCCCCCTGCGGGTGGCGGAGGGGGACGACTTCCTGTCGCTCCACGCCGACTCGGATGAGGAAGGGGACTTCGGCGAGAGTCAGCCCGAGCCCCGGTGGAAGGCGGCCGCCGACCTGCGGCGCAAGATCCTGACGCAGCGCCGCGAGCGGTACCGCCACGACTCGCCCAAGCACTCGGGCTCCAGCTCCGGCTCCCGTAAGAAGGCCAAGCAGTCCCGCGAGCGCCGGCCCCCCAAGGCCAAGGAGCCCCGCGCTGGCCCCTGGCCCCCCAAGAAGAAATCCAAGTCGCGCTCAAAGTCCAAGGAACGCCGGCGCTCCCGGTCCCGCCGGCGCGGCTCCCGCTCCCGGTCCCGCCGGCGCGGCTCCCGCTCCTGGTCACCCTCCCTCAGCACCGGCCTGTCGGCCATGGGCTCGGAGCGGCACCGGCGGTCGCGGGAGAGGCGGCGGGGCCGACGCTCACGCTCAGGGAGCCGGGTGCGGCACAAGGAGAAGCACCGGGACGGCGGCAGCGGCAAGAAGAAGAAGAAGCAGCAGCGCTCCCGTTCCCGGGAGAAGCGGCCGCCCCGCGACAAGCAGCGCGAGGTGCACGTCCTGGAGGAGCCCAAGGCAGAGGAGCGCCGGCGGGACGCCCGCACCGTCGTGCCGCCCTCCATCCAGGACCTCAACGACACCGACCTCTTCACCATCAAGAGGACCATCACGGTCAGCCGGCAGGACGGCTCCCCGGAGCCGGCCAAGCGGGAGGTGCTCTACGACTCGGAGGGGCTGAGCTTCGAGGGCTGCTTCTCAGACCGCGAGCCCGCTGAGGGGCCCCGGCACCTGGGTGGCAAGGGCGAAGGGGGGCCGCCCCGCAAGGAGCGGCCGGAGGAGGAGGCCAAGCCGCCCAAGGAGAAGGAGCGGAAGCGGGGGTACCCGGAGGAGCGCCCCGCACCCCGCGAGAAGTCCAAGAAGAGGTTCAAGGAGGCGCTGGGCCGGTCGGCGCCCGAGGCGGGCAAGGCGGAGAAGGAGAAGTCGCGGCCGGAGCGGGAGAAGCCCCCCCGGAAAGCCAAGGCCGGGCACAAGGACAGCGGCAAGGCGGGCAGCTCGGGCCGCAAGGTCAAGCTGCAGTCTAAGGTGGCGGTGCTGATCCGCGAGGGCGTGAGCAGCACCACGGTCTCCGGCAAGGAAGGGGGCTCCATCGGCATCAAATTCAGCCGGGACAAGGAGAGCCGCTCGCCCTTCCTCAAGCCGGAGGAGAAGGGGCCCGGGGCCGACGCCAAGGCGGAGCTGGCCAAGGAGCCGGGCGTGAAGGCCAAGAAGGTCAAGGGGCTGAAGGCCAAGGCGGGGCTGAAGAAGGCCAAGGGGCCGGGGGCCAAGACCAAGGGGCCCTCGGAGGCCAAGAAGAAGAAGAAGCTGAAAGCCAAGACGGGGCTGAAGAAGTCGAAGGCGGACAGTTGCAGCCAGGGGGCCGGGAGCCCGCCCGCTCCCGCCCCAGAGCCGACGGGGGGCTCCGGCTCCCCACTCAGCCCCCCGCCCAAGCCGCCGCCCGCCCCGGCCGAGCAGGAACTGACCCCCGACTCGCAGACGGTGGACAGCAGCTGCAAGACGCCCGACGTCTCCTTCCTGCCCGAGGAGGCGGCCGTGCCCGCGCCCGGCGAGCAGCAGAGGACGCCGGCGGGCGAGCCCCAGGCCGACAGCCTCTCCGAGCCCAAGGAGGAGCCCGCCCGCGCCCTGCCCCCGCCCCCGGCCCCCATGGCCTGGAACTTGCAGGGGGGCGTGGACTGCACCACGAGCGGCGTCCTAGCACGTAGGTGACGGGGAGAGGGGTGCTCCCAGGGGGCTGGCTGGGGTGTGGGGGGCAGAGGGGGAGCTCCTGGCTGGGATGGGGGTGGCAGGGCATGGGGGTTGGGTCTGCCAGTGCATGGGGGGTCGTGGGGGAAGCAGTGGGGTGAAGGCCACCCCAGCTCTGACACCCCCCCCGTGTCTCACCCAGTGACTGCCCTGCTCTTCAAGATGGAGGAAGCCAACCTGGCGAGCCGGGCCAAGGCCCATGAACTGATCCAGGCCACCAACCAGGTAGAGGGCGCTCTCCCCGGCCGGCGGGGCTGGGCCCGGTGCCCCTGTGTGGCGCTAGGGGGCGCTGTGCTGCAGGGAGCGGGGCAGGGCTCAGTAGGGGGAACTCTCCCCGGCCAGCGGGGCTGGTCCCAGTGTCCCTGTGCGGCACTAGGGGGTGCTGTGCTGCAGGGAGTGGGGCGGGGGGAACAGAAGGGGGCGCTCTCCCCGGCTGGCAGGGCTGGTGCCAGTACCCCCGTGTGACGCTAGAGGGCGCTGTGCTGCAAGGAGCGGGGCGGGACTAAGTAGGGGGCGCTGGGCTGCAGGGAGCGGGGCAGGGCAGTAGGGGGCGCTCTCCCCTGTTGGTAGGGCTGGGCCCGGTGCCCCTGTGTGACGCTAGGGGGCGCTGTGCTGCAGGGAGCGGGGCAGGGCAGTAGGGGGCGCTCTCCCTGGCCATGTCATGACACCAATTGTCGCACTGAGCTGAGAGTTGGCCTGGGAACCCCGGCGTCCTGGCTGAAGCCCCACATGGGGGATTGTCTGCTCCCAATCCCCGTCTACCCAGCCCCCCCGCCCCCCCGGACGGGCCCCCTCCCCCCCTTGGGCAAGGGGCCCCCCCCCTCCCCCCCCCCCCCCCCCCCCGGAGGGGCCGCATCCCAGCACCGGGCGAGGGGTCCCTGGCTGCCCCACCCCAGCGCTGGGGCCCCCGGCTGAGACTAATCACTTTCTCTCCCTCTAGATCCTGAGTCACACCAAACCCTCCACGTCCCTGGCGGGCTCCCAGGCGCCCGTGCCGCCCCCCACCCACACGGCCGCCCCCTACCTGCTGCACAGCTCCCTGCCCCTGGGGGGCTGCAGCTCCACCCCCCCGACCCCCACCGGGCTGCCTGGCCCCCTCGGCCCGGGCTCGGTGGGCGCTGGCAGTGGGACGCTCTTCGGCACCGGCAGCGACCTGGGCAAGCGGGACGGGAGCACCAGCTCCGACGGGCGCGGGGACACGGATAAGGTTAGTGTGTGTGTGTGTGGGGGGGGATGTTTGAGCACCGAGGAGGGGGCCAAGGCTGGGCGGGGTCCCACCATGCCCTGGGGAGGTCGTGAGCTTGGCAGCGATGGTGGGAGGCGGGGGGGCGGGGGTCTGTCCCAGGCTGTGAGATGGGGGGGTCCCTCCCCGGTGTGCTGACCCCTGCTCCCCCCCCAGTACCTGAAGAAGCTGCACACGCAGGAGCGGGCGGTGGAGGAGGTGAAGCTGGCCATCAAGCCCTACTACCAGAAGAAGGAGATCACCAAGGAGGAATACAAGGACATCCTGCGCAAAGCTGTGCACAAGGTGGGGCGCCGGGGCACCGGCGGGGCTGGGGGGCTGAGGCTTGGTGCCCCTCACCCTCACTGACGCCCATTGTGTCGTGTCCCCTCCCCCCAGATCTGCCACAGCAAGAGCGGGGAAATCAACCCGGTGAAGGTGAACAACCTGGTACGGGCGTACGTTCAGCGTTACAAGTACTTCCGGAAACACGGCCGCCGCATGGAGGAGGAGCCGGGGGGCCCCAAGGACCTGGGGGGGCTGGACAAGGCCTCGCTGCCCATGCCCCCCCTCTGAGCCCGGCGGGGGGCCCACCCCCCCATCTCCGTCTCTAGCTAACTCGGACCCCCTTATGCAAAGGGAGGGGGGCGCTCGTGACCTCCCCCCAGACTCTGAATGGTTTTAAACAGGAACAGTTTTACTCTGTACATATGGCTGGGCTGGACTTGCGGTGGGGGGGCGGGCCTGGCTGGGGGGGGCCTGTGCGTGGGCTACCGTCCCCCCCGACTTCCCCCATTTTACTCATGTTAGCATGTTTTTATTTGGATTCCTCCCCCCGGGGAACGGGGGGACCCTCTCATCCAGCCCCCCCGACCCACAGCTGCCCTGGAGGGAGGAGCGGCCAGCAACTCTCCTGGTGCAGGTGCCCCCCATCTCTGTATCTCCCTTTCTGTCTCTTCATAAACTGCGTTAGCCACTTAGCTCTGGATGGTCTTCTTGGGGCGGGGGACACGTGTGATACCAGGTCTGGGGGACTGGCACTAGGGGGCAGGGTTGGGGGCTGCCCCCCAGCCAAGGCACAAGGAGTCCCCTAAACCCCACCCTTTCCTGGAGCAGGTTCTCTCTGCTGCCCCCTGGTGAGACATCACTCCCCGCACCCACTCCAGAGGGGCCACATCCCATCCAGGGGTCCCCATAGAACCAGCCCCTGTGCCCCACCCCAGAGCGGTCCCCGGACGAATGGAGGGAGGGGCATGTCCCCATGGAGATAGCGGGTAGGGGCGCCCTCCGACGCTGGGGGCGTGGGGGAAGCTGAGCTGGGAACGGGAGATGACGGGAAAGCGACGCTGCTCCCTGCCAGCTTCGCTCCCGTCTTCCTAGCGACGTTACCCCAGGGGACGGGATGCAGAGCGGGACAAGTCCGAGATCTTCTGACCAGTCGGAATGAATTCAAGTCGGCGGGGCCGGGGGCAAAGAAACCTCGCAGCCCCTGTGGTGATAACGGCAAACTCCCGGATGACAGGAGAGTCCCGGAAGCCTGGAGAAGGGCCAACGTGGTGCCCGTCTTTAGAAAGGGGCAAAAGGAAGAGCCGGGGAACTCGACCAGTCAGCCAGACTTCGATCCCTGGGAAAACCTTCCATTTGCGAACGGCTGGAGGATGAAGGGCTGATGGCTAGCAGCCAGCATGGAGTCACCTGCCAAAGCCGCTCCATTTCCGTCTCTGGCGCGGTAACCGCTTCGGTGGCTGGGGGAACGCGGTGGACATCATCTCCCTGGACTTTAGCAAGGCTTTGTCCCACATGACAATCTGCTAAGGAAGCCGGAGAAATGCGGGATACAGAATTGGTCAAACAAGCGCAAAGAGTCGCTAGGAATGGAATGACGGAGTGGGGTTCGTCGGGGACACTGACGACCCGGCTGTGGGACTCGAGAGCAGGTGCCTCCAGTCTGCTGATGACACGAAGCTGGGAGGTTGCCAACACCTTGGAGGATGGAGCTACGGTTCAGAGGGATCTTGATAAATGGGAGAACTGGGCTCTAGCCGACAAAACGAAATTCAGCAGAGACAAGTGGCAGGTGCTGCACTGAGGGAACAAAACCCCGCTGCACCAATACAGAATGGGGGGGGGAACTGGCTTGGCAGTGGCCCTGCGGAGAAGGAGCTGGGGCAGATCCCGGCCTCAACGTGAGTCAGCAACGCGATGCTGTTGCAAAAGAAAAAGCAAATGCAGGTTTGGGTTTGCGTTACCAGAGCACATGCCTGGCACACAACTCAGATTTTCTGCACAGACAGTGCGGGGCACATGGGGCTACTGGGGTGTGTGTGTGTGTGTCAGACTGGGCTTCAGAAGGGCTAGTGGGGGGGACATGGGGGGGCTCAGGAGCTAGTGGGGTGACAGCATTGGGGTGCAGGGACACCTAGGATTGGGGCAGATGTGCCTGACTGGATGGGATAATCTAGGGGGTCAGTCATGGTCTGCCTGGGGGAGCCTCCCCAACTCCCTAACAATCTACCTGCCCCCCCAAAACCCTGTTCCATATTTTTCCCACCCACAACCCTCCAGGTTCATTCAAAGGCTCCTTCCCTCTCCCTCCGTTCCCCCGACCCCCCCGATAGCGGGAAATACGGCTCTCTCGTGTAGTTGAATCGAATTTACTCACATTTCTGTGTTAATTTGCCGAGTAAGGAATCTATTTGTCAAAAAAACCATTTCCCGAGTCTTTTTTCTTTTTGGTGTGTGTCTGTATTGTTACAGACGGACGTGCTGCCCGGTATTTTGAAATAAATGACCAAAATCGGTGAAAGTGGCGTGATTACAGTGTGTTATTTTGACAAATAAAAACAGGCAGAATTGGAAAACACGGGGCGCGGAATCGTCAATGGTTCGGCGCAGAATTCCCCCCGGGGGTGCAATCGTACCGCACGGCTCCGGTGAGGCCTCGGCTGGAGTCCCATGTCCACGTCCGGTCACCCCCGGGAGGAAAGCGGCGGGAGCCCCTCCGAAGGGACCGGGTGTGTGAAGTTCGGAGAAGAGAAGGCTGGAAAGGCTGCCATGAAAACGCCAGGGACCCATTCTCGCTGCCCTGGAGGGCAGGACAAGAGGCGACGGCGTCCCCCTCGGGCAGAGCCGAGTGAGAGGAAAACGTCCTAAGGGGGTAAGAAAAGTCGGACGACGGCCGGGGCGAGGGGGGCCGCATAGACGCCTGTCTGGGCTGGACGGGGGCTTCGAGCAGCTGACCCTAGCAGGCGTTTCTAGCCCTATGGCCCTACGAGAACCAGGCTGCCCCACCCCAGAGGGGCCGCCTCCCTAGCTAACCAGCCCCCCTGCCCGAGTGGCCTGATGGTACAGACAAGGGGGGCGCTCTCCCAGCTCGGGGTGGGGTCTAGTGGTTAGAGCAGGGGGGAGGGAAAGAGCCCGGACGCCTGGGTTCGGTCGGGTCGGGCAGCGCGAGCGTCCGGCTAGCCGTAGGGCTGGCTCTCCATCCGCTCCCCCCAGTCCCGCAGGGCCCCCAGCAGGCCGGCCTCCCCCAGTGAGTCCGAGAAGCGCAGGTCCAGCTCCTCCGCCCGCAGCGACGACGCCCCCCTGGCCTGGCTCAGCTGGTGCAGGGTCTGCAGGGCCGTGGGCACCACCTGGGGGGGGGAAGAGGGTTGGCATTTGCGGGATTCCCAGCCCCCCCGAACCGATTCCCAGGGCTAAGCGGCTGGAACCAGCTCAGTACCATCTGGAGCCAGCCGGTGCCAGCCCCCCCCCCCGACCTGCCGCCGGGCCCAGCCCCCCCCCCCCCCCCGGGCCCAAACCCCCGGCGCCAGTCTTTGTGTTGGGGGGGGGGGGACAGGAGGGAATCCCCCCCCGCAGAGCCGAGGGAGGGAGGGAGCCAGACACCAGAGGCGGCCCAGGGAGGGGAGCGGATTCCTACCTGCACCATGATGAGTTTCTTTTTCCAGGGGCGCCCCGTGTCTGGCCAGGCCTCCCCCAGGCAGAGCCATAGCTCGTAGGTGGGGGACCTGCCCTGCCCCTCCATGAAGCAGATGAGCTCTGGGGGCAAAAGGGGGAGCATCAGCCAGGTGGGGGGGCACGGGTCCCCCCAGGGCTCCCCCAAGCGTACCCCCCGCCACACCCCTTGGGGGGCTCCCTCTCCCCTGTACCTCTGATGAAGCGCGGCAGGTCGTAGAGGGGGGTGTACCCCTCCTTGGACAGCTCCCCGCCTTCGGCCCCCGGCTCGGGGGTCTCCGTGCGCCCCCAGTAGGCGTGGAGGCGCCCCTGGCGGGTGGCGCAGAGGGAGGGTCCCTCCACCCGCAGCAGCACCCCGTCCCCCAGCCCCTGCAGCAGCCGGGCCGTGTACGAGGCCTGCACCCGGTCCACCAGCGCCCCCGGGTCGGGAAGCACCACGTCCGCCAGCTCGGGGCAGGGGCTGGGCCCGGGGCTGGGGGGCACCAGCCGGAAGCCCTGCGGGTTGGGGACCAGCATCTGCAGCACGAGGTGCCCCCGGTAATAGACCCGCACCTCGAAAAACGTCACTGCGGGGAGAGAAAGAGTGTGAAGGGGGAGATGCCGGCCCCCCAGTAAGAGCCCCCAGCAGCCCCCATGATCCCCCAGTAACAGCCAGAGCCCCCCAGCAGCCCCCCTGATCCCCCAGATCACCCAGTAACAGCCAGAGGGCCCCCCCCACTCCTTATAGCCCCCTGACACAGACCCACCGCCCCCCCTTGCCCCAGAGATGTGGGTGCTACACAGGGTCAGGACCCCTCCTCCACCATCCCCCACCCCCAGCGAGTCCGGCTGCAGCCCCAGCAGTGGCCAGCGGAGGGCGCCAGGACACTCACTCAGCTCGTTGGACCCCAGCAGCTGCTCCACGGAGCTGGGGGCCGGCACCAGGGGAGGGAAATCCCCGAACCCCGGCGAGAGAGCGCCCCCTGGGGGAGAGAGAGACACCGGTGAGGGGCGGAGCCCAGGGCTGTGGGTCGGGAGTGGGGGGCACGGGCTGGGCGGGGCTGGGCTAGCAGGGGCTGGGGGTCGGGAGTGGGGGGCACTGGCAGGGCTGGGCTAGCAGGGGCTGGGGGTCGGGAGTGGGGGGCACTGGCAGGGCTGGGCTAGCAGGGGCTGGGGGTCGGGAGTGGGGGGCACTGGCA